GGAACCCGAAATTTTTATGGGGCCACAAAAACCCTTATTTTTGGGCACAGAATTTTTACTTAGGGAAAAAGAAATTTTTTATGAGGGCCCCGAACCCTTACTTAGGGAAAAAGAATTGTTTTCTTAGGGTCAAAAATTTTTTTTGAGGGCCACAGAACCGCTACTTAGGGCCCCGAAATTTTTTACTTTGGGGCAAGTTTGTTTTGAGGGCACGAAAATTTTTATTAAAGGGGAAAGGGAAATTTTTACTCGGACAGGGCACGAAATTTTTACTCAGGGGTTTCGAATTGTTATGAGGGGTACAGGAAAACCCTTTAATTTTGGGCCCAGAAAATTTTTATTTAGGGCCCCAGAATTTTTATGAGGGCCACAGAACTGTTTTCTTTTGGGCCAAAAGAATTTTTTAAACGGGGGCCCAGAATTGTTAATTGGGGCCCCAGAATGTTACTTAGGGCCAAAAAAAAGGTTTTTCAGGGACACAGAAATTTTTACGGAGGGCCCCAAAAACCCGTTACTTAGGGCCCCAGAATTGTTCTCGGGGCAAACCGAATTGTTCTCAGGGGCACGGAAATTTTTTAATGGGGCCAAGAACCGAAAAAAGGGGGAAAATTAAAAAATTAATTTTAGGGAAAACAGAATTTTTTTGAGGGCCACAGAAAGGGTTTTTTTTGGGCAAAATAATTGTTTTTCAGGGACAGACACAGAATTGTTTTCTGGGGACACAGAATTTTTTACTTTGGGCCACAGAAACCCCTTACTTAGGGGCCACGAAATTTTTACTTTAGGGGGGAGACACAAAATATTGTTTCTCAGGGACACAGAATTGTTTTCTAAAGGGGCACAGAATCGTTGAATTAAAGGTTTTTTCAGAAAACTGCAGGGGGAGATGGCAGAGGGAGGGGGGGTGTTTTAGGAGCGAGGGAGAATTTTTTTCGCAGAGGGAAGGGGTTTGGGGGCGCACTATTCGCGCAGAGGCCGTCTCCGGTGTCTTCCCGCGGGCGTTTTCTCCACCGACAAACCCCGCCGGTCGATTGGTTGGCTCGGTTGTCTTTATCTTCCCGGTCACCCCTTTACACCTTTCAGCCAACGGGTGGTGGGGGGTCAGACACAACCGTTGGGGGGGGTTTGGGCCCGGGGCCAAGCCACAAGGGAAAACACGGGTCCCTACCCGGCCCGTCCTTTGGGGGTTCCCTCACCAAAACAAAAGTATCGCATTGGGGTGGGCCCCAGCCCCTGTAAAAGTGAGGGAAAAAGCTAACAGGGGCGGTGGAAGGGGGGAGACACGCCCTTTTTAGAGCCAGGCGAAGAAGTACTGGCGGGGAGTGGTCGGTAGGGCCCGGGCTAGAGGGGCAGGGGCTGTCTCCCCGCCCCCATGCAAACCCAGGGGGCTAGTAGTGGGCGGAGCCCCATTGATGATGAGGAGGTTGGGTCGCACTTGGCAGCCTCCCTGTCCTAGGCAATTTTTTTCCATCATCAGGAGGGGAGGGTGGGAGTTGGCAGGGGCAAAAAAAGTTGGTGGGTTTAGGAGACAGCAGCGACCGGGTAGAAGCTGTGTCTGTGGAGCCAAACGTCATGGATTAGAGCACAGCTCACTGGCAGCATACCACACGGCAGTAGTGGTGCCGGTGTGCACGGAGGAAGCAGCAGTCAAGCCCGTGAGGAGTATGGGGGCAAAGTTTCTACTCGGCTGTGTAAGTGTTGTGCAATTTTGTCAGCGCTCCGAGGAAGTAACTAGCCCGTTTGTCGACTATGTGGCCAGAAAGTCAATGAGTGGGCCAGGTGGCCCATGTTGGGACTACAGCGTTGCGGCAGCATCTGCAGCGTCGCCATTTGGCTGGCCAGGGGAAAACGTGATAAAGATACGGCGGTTTGCCCGCAAGCCCCGCATCCATCCCCGCTCCGTTACATGTCCGTCACCTGACGTCAATCGCCCTCCATCAGCCAGTCATAGGCTCCAACAACCTCTTGCTGAGGGGAGTTGTTCGTTTGCGTTGGCATCTTACGCTCGTTCAGATGCTCCTTTCATGCTACTCCTCTACACGGATTCCGTCAGCAGTCTTTCTTGGAATCCGTTTCCAAAGATGACAAACTTGGTCTTGCGAGCATCGCTACCGATGGTTTTGCAAAAGCTGAACGTTCCTCATGTCCAAGTTGCGTGGTGCTGCAGTCCCGCCCTTTCCAAGAAGTGGTGGAATCAGCAACCTTTACGAGTATATGATGGGCTTGTGCCGCGCGCGGTTGGGAGAGTGCCAAAGCGTCATTTTCTTCGCCCAAAAGGCAGTGCCAGCTGCATTCACATGTAGAAGAGATGGTGGGCACAGTCTCTTGAGCATGTCGGGTCTTTGCCTAAGTCGCACAGCAGCGCCGACGTGTGGACTGTGTAACTACGGTCAGGGACAGTTAATGTCATTTACGGGGGCCACTGGGGTGTGTAACGTGGTGCCGTCACAGCCGCACCAGCATAACGTGGACAGGTCATCCGCGCTTTTGACCTCACGTTTGCACGTCCTTGGGGTTCCGGCAAAGATGTCCGCCTCTTACCAACTCTTCTTCCGCCGTGTCCTCAGCCGCCAACCACGAGTGCCAAGTACCATTACTCCGACCGGCATATCACATGTGCACGGGCGACACACGGTGTTCACGCTTGTTGCTGCACCTGGTATGGCCTTAGGCGGAACGTTGTACACAGAAGATCAGGGGAGGAAACTTGCTCAGTGGTATCGAACAGAGAAGGAAATCGACAGATGGCTGTCTTCCGCGCATACTCAAAATAGGAACCATGGTTGGACGACACTGGAAAGAAACATGTTGTTCTGCTCTGCGTCATGGAAGGTTGTGCTATGCGCCATGCATGGCTCACGTTGTTCAATCTGGTTGTCAAGACGGGTTCCTAAAATCCACCATCCCACTGACAAGACATCCTTAAAATGTCACGTATAACTTTGCATTGCAATTTCAGCCATTCCTACACCGCAAATGCACACCTCCTGAGCTGCAGCGGCAGAAGCAAAACAATTTAAAAAGAACGGGAATTTTACACAGCATCGCCTATGATCTGCGTCGTTGCAACAAGGGTGGGAATTCATACACCTAACTCATGTTTAGACCGCCCTTTACGAAAACAGCGAGGAAGGCCCATCACCGATTTCCTGATGTTACAAAGGCGGATAAACTGGTTACTCCCTGTGTAACTTTGATGTCAGCCATTGGCAGCTCATGCGTGACACCTGCCGATTGCTCGGCCTTTTGAGGAGACACGCTATTCGTGAGTCGGCAGGGACTACTGGGATGATCGACGTTCATTCCTCTGTTGCAGTCCTGGAAAACAATTGCTGTTAACAATGGGCTGGTCAGGGTGCGGTAGACGTGGGCGCACAGATCTCAACGCCACATGACCCCTGTGAGGGGACAGGAACTGGATGAAGCTGAGGGCGGATGTATGAGGAGGAACATTGTGTGCTCAGGTATCATTGGAGTGAAAAATGGGGTGGTTTTTCCACTCTGCGGACAAGGAGAGTGGCAGGTTGCAGGAGCATCTGGTAGAGGAGGAGGAAGAGGAGACAGAGTACCCTGACGCACGTTGGGGGGGGCGAGGCAGAATTGATGTGGAGATGGAGGCAGGGAAGTCCCTCGCATTCATTGGCACAAATGGAGCCATAGCATGCTCGCTTGGCTTTGCGTAGCGACAGCCGTCCGAATAATTAAACCATCTGACAGAGGGATGACTTTTGGCTGTCCACCTTGTTGGACCATCGCTACCGTTCAAACATTGGTGCCTTTTTCACACCTGGCTGAGAGGGAGGCCAAATAACGTACTATAAAAAACACACACACACTATGTAGTCAGCTGGTCTCTGCCTGTCTGCGCCAACGTCCATCCTCAGACATGTGGGCCCTGTGCGCTCGCGTTCGCTGCCATGGCAGCAGGGGAGGGGTGGGGTGGTAGGTAGGTGCTAGTGGCAGCTCCACCAGCAGCGGCTACTGCCTCAGTCTGCAGTCGAGATGATGAGTAGCTTTCTTCACCAGCGCAGTGAGGGAAACTACTAACCAGCCGCGCGTAGCTACGCAGCAGCAGCAGCATCAGGTGGACCTGGAGCAGGACCTCAAACAACAGGCTTAGGCCTACTTGGACAGCACCTGCCAACGAGGTAGACAATCCCCTTGAACTACTGGGCAACTGAAAACTTGACCTTTGGCCCCAAACTCTAGCTGAATTTGCCCTTGAAAGGCTGTCATGCAACGGCCAGTAGCGTGGCATCGGAGGCGTGTGTTTAGTGCGGCAGGAGGTATTGCAACTCCGCGGAGGACACGACTGGTCAACCCAAAGTGTGGAGAGACTCACGTTTGTGAAAATGAATCAGGCGTGGATTTTAGTCTGGATTTCAAACCACCAGTTCTGACAACAAACTGACTAAATCCGCCATGAATCATTGCCCCAAACACATGTGCCACTTTCAGGTCTCCTCACACTGCTGGTGTGTTCCATTTTTTTTCATTAGGGTGCTGGCAGATTACGGGCCTCCCATAGCTGCTGCCAGGCCCATAATTGCCATGGGCCCCTATACCGCCTCCTCATGCTGTGCCAAGTCCTGAGTCTCTCATGGGTCCCTGTACGTGCCTACATTGCTTGCTGTCTCCCTCGCCACACTCTCTGCCATGTTTGCCACTTTAAGGTCTCCTACAACATGATGTGTGTGTTCTTTTTTTTGTCATTAGGGTGCTGGCAGATTACGGGGTCCCCATAGCTGCTGACCAGGCCTAATCTGCATGGGACCATATACATCCTCCTCCTGCTGCTGCGCAGAGTCATGTGTCTATCATGGGTCCCCTGTAAGGCCTTCCATTTTGTTTTGCTTTTTTTTGGGCTGTCTCCATCGCACACTCATGCCATTGTGCCACTTTCAGGGGTCTCCTCACACTGACTGGTGGGTTCATTTTTTGTCTTAGGGTCGCTGGCAGATTACGGGCCTCCATAGCTGCTGCACAGGCCCTAATCTGCCATGGGCCCCTATACCGCCTCCTCATGCTGCTGCCAGGTCCAGAGTCTCTCATGGGTCCTGTACGGCCTCATTGCTGCTGTGTGTCTCCATCGCACACACTCTGCATGTGCCACTTTCAGGTCTCCTCACACTGCTGGTGGGTTCCATTTTTTGTCATTAGGGTGCTGGCGAGATTAGGGTCTCCCATAGCTGCTGCAGGCCCCTTATCTGCCATGGGCCCCGTACCGATCCTCATGCTGCTGCCAGGCCCGTAATATGTCATGGGCCCTGTTGTCGCTTGTTGGCATATTCCCGCTCGTTCAGATGCTCCTTCGCCTGCTACATCCTCTTCACGGATTTTCCGTCAGCAAAGGTCTTTCTTGGAATCCGTTTCCAAAGAGACAAACAGTTTGCGAAGCACGCACCCGACGGTTTTGGTTTGCAGAAGCTGAACGTCCTCCTGTTCAAAGTTGCTGCTGCCAGGCTCGTAATCTGTCATGCAGGCCCCTGTACGCTTTCTCCTCATGCTGTGCTCAGGTCCAGAGTGTGTCATGGGCCCCGCTACCGACTCCTCATGCTGCTGCAGGTAGGCCCGTTAAATCTGTCATGGGCCCATGTACGCCTCCCATGCTGCTGCCAGGTACCAGAGTGTGTCATGGGTCCCTGTTACGGGGCCTCCATTGTCTGCTGCCAGGGCCCGGTATATCGTAATCTGCCATGGGCCCCGTACGACGTCTCTCATGCTGCTGCACAAGGCCCGTAATCTGTCATTGGGCCCCTGTAAGCCTCTCTCATGCTTCGGCTGCCAGGTTCCAGAGAGTGTGTCATGGGTCCCTGTACGGCCTCCCATTGCTGATGTCTCTATCGCCACACCTCTGCCATGTGCCACTTTCCAGGTCTCCTCACACTGCTGCGTGGTTTCCATTTTTGTCATAGGGTGCTGTATGGCCTCCCATTGGCTGCTGGCCTCCACCAACCACACTGTAGCTCCACACTCTGGTTTGGCCCCGTGATCTGCCCAAACTATGAGTGAAGTTGTGTGCGTTGAAACACCCTTGTTTTTTAAGTTAAATTCACAGCGAATATATTCCGACTCGAATCGAAAAATTTTTCCACGTATTCGTCTCCAAAATCAGTCGAATCGAATTTTTGAATACTTCGCTCATCTCTAGTTGTTGGATACATGGGGGGGGATGGGAAACACAGAACAGCTAAAATATATAGAATTCTCACAGAATTAGCACACAAACACCAAACAATGCACATAGTGAAATGGGGGTATCACATTTGGTGGGGAATGTCCAAAAATTCAAGTATTCTGGAAAATAATAGTACATTTAATTGAGATCATAACTAAGATAAATATTGGGTTAGACCCAGAGATGTGTTTGCTGCATAGTTCAGAAGCTATCAGTTAGCAAATATAAGAAATTAGGTTTAGGGTATTATATGAATGCTGCAAAAGTCTGATCCCTAAGTATTGGAGGAAAACATAAGTACAGAAAGAGGAGGATTGGATAGAAAGAGTGAACTGGATTAGTAGGATGGAGAACCTCTACTATATGCAGGGGGGGGGGGGAGGGGGTAATGTTTTAAGGGGGAAAAAAAAAAAGTAATAAGAAATAGTTATGTATATTTATTATGAATGTGATGAAAGTGTTTTGTTATTGCTTTGAAAAATTAATAGATATTTAAATAAAAAAAAAAATGACTCTTTTTTTGGAATGTAGATACCCCAAGGAATTTAAAAAGAGGCATGGTGAGTATTTTGCAGATCTAATTTTTTTTTCTCACAAGGTTTTGAAATATAAAAAAAAGAAAAGAAAAAATACTAGGCCGTTTCCCAAAAGGTAGAGCGGCACTAGTACTGGCATTCTGCTGCATATGAGAGTCATCAAAATTTACCGTCCGGTGCTAGCAGAGATAAGGCCTGATTCTGCGAACACTGCGGTTTTGTGTGCAATATATCAAAGTGACAGTGACCTACTTGCTGGGGGGTAGTAGGGGGGGGGGGTAAGCGTAGGGGCTAAACGCAGGTGCTGGCAGTTGCCAGGGCTGATCCCATTAACTCTGTGTTTTTGGGGACACCATGTGAACGCTGGTATAGTGCTGATCTGATCAAAGATATTGATCCATTCAGACACTATACTAGCAATGGAGGTTTATTGTGTATGAGCGTGTTCCTGGCAATCAAGGGGTTAAATATGATTACTGGTGTACTGAAGGGCAATATGACACGATCTGGGAGGGGCGTTAAAACCACGGAAGTGCAAACTACATATATGTACTTGATTTTGCTCACCCGTGCCACCCTGTAACAGTATTTCTGCTATAGGGCGGTCAGGAAGCAGTTAAAGAAGTGGTTTGTGTTACAGCGCTGCATTACTTTAACTGACAATTGCGTGGTCATACAACTAAATTTATGTCCTTTTTTCCTATGAATTGAGCTTTCTTTTGGTGGTATTTGATCCCCTGTGCGTTTTTTATTTTTTGTGCTATAAAAAAAAAGACCAACAATTTTGAGGAAAAAAACTATATTTTGGACTTTTTGCTGTTAAATGTGTCCAGTAAAAAAAAATAAAAAATAAAATTTCATCAAAATTTCAGCCAAAATGTATTCTGCGACATGTCTTTGCTGAAAAAAAAACCCAATACGTGTAAACCGGTTTACGTGAAAGTTATAGCGTTTACAAATGGCGGTATAGATACTGGAATTTTTTTAATACTAATAATGGCGGCGATTAGCGACTTATGGCAGCGATCAGCGACTTATAGCGGGACTGTGGGCAGGCATTCTGACACTGGGGAGAACTGACTTGATGTCACTGACATTCCCAGTGACATCAATACAGTGATCAGTGCTAAAAAAAGCACTGACACTGTACTAAAGGCACTGGGCAGGAATGGGTTAACATGCCGGGCAATCAAAGGGTTAACTGTGTGATGGGAGTGTTTTACTAGGGGGCGGGGGGTGTGTGTTCTTCACTGTAAGAACACTGCTCTGGATGGCTGTAAACAAAGCACCCTGCTCCCTGTCAGTGATTGCCTGTTTTCACCAGGTGTCGGCAGGTAATCACCAGTCGGGACCCAGTGATTGACACCCGGGGGCTGCGAACAGCAGCGCAGGTAGGGCCCATGTTCCCCCTACCCAGAAATGCAAAATTACGTTTATATACGTGATTTTGCGCACAGGGGCCGCCCTGTAGCAGTGTATCTGCTATAGGGTGGTCCTTAAGCGGTTAATTGAAGATGTTGGATTTGCTTTAATTTTATCTTTTTTGTTTTGATTTGGTCTACATTTTCTCTCTGGTTTAATGTGCTTATCACATGCATGAATTTTTTTTAAATAGCTCTTAACCACTTCAAGTCTGGACACAAGCCCAGACCAGTTTTCAGCTTTCAGCACCAAGACGCTTTGAGTGACAATTGTGCGGTCATGCAACATTGTACCCCTATAACACTATTATTATTTTTGTAGACAGATTGGGCTTTCTATTGGTAGCATTTGATAACTACTGGGGTTTTTATTTTTTGCTATATAAATGAAAAAATACCGAACATGTTTAAAACAAATCATGTTTTTCTTATAAAAGTTTTTGTTATAACATCCTGCAAATAAATAATATTTCTTCATAGATTTAGGCCAAATTGTATTCTGCTAAACACAATTTTTTTGGGGTAAAAATAACCGAAAACAGTGCATATTATTTAGTGTTATATCTATAGCGTCTACAAACTATCGGATATATATTTGAAAATTGATCAGTTGAGACCCTAAAATGCTGGACACTGATATGATGTATGGCAGTCAGGACGCTGGTATGAGGTATGGCTGTGTTTAGGACATTAGCATGAGGTATGGCAATGATCAGGATGCTGGTATGGGATAAACAGAAGCTGGTATGGGCTATGGTGGTGAACAGGACGCTGGATGCTGGTATATGAACAGGACGCTGGTATGGTGGTGATCATAAAACTGGTAAGGAATATGGCAGTGATCAGGATACTGGTATGGCGTATGGGGTGATCAGGATTTTGGTGAGGGGTATGGCTGTGTTCAGGATGCTGGTATGGCATGCAGCGGTGATCAGGGCGTTGAAATGGGGTATGGTGGTGATCAGGATGCTGGTATGGTGATTAGAACATTTGTATGTTGTATGGCTATGTTATTGTGTGCACGGGGACAGGTGACAGGGCTGGCTCTTTTGTTTATTATTGATTACTATGGGCAGTAATTAGGGACACTCGGGTGGCGGGCAGAGCAGTTTGTGAGTGTACATGCTGCATGCTCACAACCTGCAGCTTTCACTTTCTAGTGTTTACAATGTGAGTGCTGTGATTAGTCACAGCAATTACATGATAAAACACAATGTGATCTCCCAGACACAGCTGTAATGTGATCCTCTGTGTCCTGGCGACACACCAATCACCGGGCTCCCGGGTGCATGTTCTGTGAGCCACACAGGAGCCAACAATGCAGGCTGATGTAAAGTTATGTTAGCCTGTATTGGCAAAGCTTCCTGTCCACCATCTATATGCAATGGGGGACAGGAAGAGATTAAAGGCTAAGTTCACCTTTGGGAACATGTTAAATGTTCCACCCGTTTTTAGGGTGGAACGCATGTAACATGTTCCCACTCCTGCAGTCGCCACTTCTCTGCATCAATTGAAAGTTAGAGCGGGATCTTCTCCCCCGCTAGCTGTCACTATTTTAAAAAACATGCAACTGGGCCTTGCCCGCCTGGCTGCATCATTCATTCACAGAGTTCTGTGAATGGGAAACTACAAGTACCAACAGCCTTTGCGGCTGTCGGCTTGTAGTTCTCAATGAACTACCATGGCGCTGTTGATCGATGTGGTAGTTCTCAATCTCAATCAATCTCAATCTCTCTTCCTGTCAGTATGTATCTGCCTGCCCATACGAGGTACAAGCAGATACACTAACAAATCTGCAGGAGTCCTGCATGGCACCTGCGATCTAGTGAGTGCAATGCTTTGCAGGCTCAGAGTAAAAAAAAATAATAAATGCACATTTTTTTGCCTGCAAAAGATGTGCATTTATTGTTTCTTTTAAAGGTGAACTTTTCCTTCAAATGCTTATTGAATCCTGACTAGTGATGAAAAATGTTGCAATCATCTTAACTGTTTTTTCTAACATGTCATACGGTGGACCCTTTTCTCTTAATATCTAATATAGTCTTATTGAACGTCACTAATCGACATCATTCTGTAACTGCTGATTAGACCTAAGCATCTATTTGAAGATTTTTTTTTGCCTCATTTCTGTATACTGGTTAGTTTCATATATGCAGCATTTTGGATATTGTTAGAATTCCTTGCTTCTGACCATACCAGTAGAACATATCAGTAGTACTGAGGTCAGAACTCAGACTGGATTTACACTTCCATGTGCACCGTAGCATGTCTGGTAACACACTCACATCTATAGTTTTCTTTTTGAGAAACACTAAACTGCAGTAGATAGATGTGAAATATCCCCAAAGGAAAGAATAGGATTTCTGCTTAATAATTTATTTTTTGTTGAATGAAAACGGAGAGGAACATGCATTTAACCATTAAACAATACAAAGTTGCTCCTGTTCAAGCCATTCTGTCACAGATCAGTAGTAAAATTTGCTGTTGATCTTTTACATCTGTGTAGCACCCTCCTGGAATAGATTGCTAGAAAGATGTAAATGTGGTCTTTTTGGCTCCTTTGTAAACATTAGAGCAATATGTAATTATTTTTGGCTTTTCTGGGTTTCATAGGCTGCATACTCAACTCCTTCTAGTAGGTTCTAGATTGTAATGGGCTGGAAGAAGACCCTGAGCTTTAATATTAATGGAACTCTAGCCAGTCTCTGAGGAGGTGTGCCCAGAAGATGAAAATAAAGACCATAAATAATCTGAGACCTGGAGCAACACAATTCTTGTCCTAGAGGAGAGGATCCCAGTCTTACAAGCTGCTGCCCTTTGAGCGGGTGAGATGAAGCCTGTTGTAGAGAATTTGCTGAGGTCCCAGCTCAGTGGGAGCTGGGGGACTGTTTC